GTCATGCGATTTTTAAATGGTGCTTCCCAAATCCCACCAGCCCCCCCTTCCTCATAAAAAATGAACGGTCCCTTAGACTATTTATTGTTCATCTCTCGTGATGATAGCAAGTGTGGTGTGAATAACATCGAGTATTTTTAACAAGGGCACGTCATAAGACCTCATAAGATCTAAAATAAGTTGCGGGTTTCATATACCTAGTCCCTCCCCCCCTCCCCCCCTCACCACCACCACCACCACCACCCTGAAAGTTATTGTGTCCCCTTTCCTAAGGAGAGATGTAATTTTTTCTCACGTCCTCCTCGCTTTCTCCTATCCTGTCGATTTTCGAAAGCCTAATCACATATTTAGCTTTTTTTCTATGAGCTGTGTTGACTTAAGTTTATTCGTTTCCCACGTTTGTAATCCCTGCGTGTTAAGTTCTTCTATTTCTCCTTGGAATGCTGCAATGATGCTTTTAAAAGTATTATATATCAGCAATTTTGCTTAAACCGTTTTATTGTTGTAGGTCAAAGATTAAGCTATGGAGCAATATTTTCGTACGTTCAGGGTATTTGTTATGCTGTAAAAGGTAGTGCTAATTTCTAATGCTGTGGAGATAACCCTAGTTTGTGACCATTCATATGAAAGCTGTTGAGCAGTACATTCATGTAGCACTAATTAAATGTCCACATTTGTTAAAACGAAGTTTGATATTTTATCCGAATTTTAACTCAGGTTCTATTGCATACCTTTCTTGTCAGGTCTTAAGCCGCCTCGTTACCTTGTGGGTTACGTAACTGGTGACACAAGTGTGAAATTGGCCTGGGAAGTAGCTTCGCCATCAAACAAGACTGTTTTCGAGATAAGATGGAAGAATGGCCATAATGAATCGTCCATGGTGGTTTCTGGTACCACTGGTACTGTCACTATTCATGATCTCAGAGTTTACACGAAATATTTTTTTCGCGTACGGAAAGGTTTCATGAATGGAACTTGGGGCGGATTCACAAAGTACAGATCTATCTGGACTCCAGAGGGAGGTAAATATACGCTTTATCATGCTTTATAATTGAGGTTCACAAGAGCCACGTCATACAGAAGAGAAAGAAGGAATAGACTAGCCTAGAATAGACTGGAATAGAATAGACTGGAATAGAATAGACTAGAAGAGACTAGAATAGAATAGAATAGATTAGAATAGACTAGACTAGAATAGAAAAGAATAGATTAGAATAGACTAGACTAGACTAGAATAGAATAGAATAGACTAGACTAGAATAGACTAGACTAGAATAGACTAGACTAGGACAGACTAGACTAGGATAGACTAGACTAGGATAGACCGAGAATAAACTAGACTAGCCTAGAATAGACTAGAATAGAATAGAATGCAGTAGAATAGATTACACTAGAATACAATACAATACAATACAATACAAT